CATTGCCCGCCACATCGTCCGAAGGATTGACAGAAACTCCACTATGTCACGGAGAGCTGCACATGACAAAGGATCATTCTCTACAAAGGAAACTGTTCTGACCAGAATCCTACAAGTGAGGGAGCTCCAAGCAACAAGAGTCCTGCGAGCCCTATTCCCTTGAATAAAACTCCAAGCAGTGGAAGTTCATCACAGTCATCACTTCTGCAGAGAACCTCACCAGAATGGAATCACATATACACGATCATGCCCGCTATGACAACGAACGCGGCTTCGGTGGAGAACAACTCGCAAACATCACTAAATCTCTCGAGGGGATAGCTGCACTCATGCATAACCAAGAAAGGCGGATCAATGAGCTCAGCGAAAAGGTTGAAAGCGGAAGGAACGGCGAAACAAGTCGGGCTTCCGGGAAGCAGCCTCAAACCCAAGGAGATGAGATTGATGCCGAGTCCCCGCGCCATCAAAGTAGGCCAGGAATGGAAGAGACAATCTCTCGTCACCACCCGCCGAGAAGAGTATCCCAATTTCTGAGGGCATGATACCCGTAGAGCAGTTGAATGAGTACATCATGGGAGCGATCAAGGGAAGCTCGAGGGAGGACAATCTTCATATACTTACACTAAGCCATATACTCAAAGAATTGAAGAAATGAAAATGCCGCTGGGCTATCAACCTCCCAAGTTCCAGCAGTTTGATGGAAAAGGCAACCCGAGGCAGCACATCGCCACTTCGTTGAAACCTGTAATGATGCAGGAACATACGGAGATCTCCTCGTCAAGCAGTTCGTCCGCTCTCTGAAGGGCACTGCCTTTGATTGGTACACTGACCTGGAGCATGGTTGCATTGATAGCTGGAATGATATGGAGCGCGAGTTTTTGACCCGCTTCTACAGCACTAGGAGGACTGTCAGCTTCTTGGAACTCACCACTACCCACCAATGGAAGGTGAGCGTGCGGGCACTTACATCGAGAGATGGAGGGAATTGTGCCTTAACTGTAAAGAGAGGATATCACAAAGCTCCGCAATTGAAATGTGCATCCAAGGGATGCACTTCGAGCTCTCTTATATCTTGCAGGGAATCAAGCCTAGAACATTTGAAGAACTATCCAGTCGTGCTCACGACATGGAATTGAGTATTGAAGCCAATGGAGGGCTCGACATGTCAAGTATCGCTAGCTCATCCAAGGCCGCCTGTAAAACAAGAATTCAAGAAAGGGGGCAAACCCTTCCCGAAACAAGAAAAGAAGGAGGCCATGAACTTAAAAACAGCACCAATGCGGGTTTTCGCCAAAGTAACTGAAAATCCCAGGCTAAGGCCATTTTCCCGCCCATCTCGGGGTACTAGAATCATTGAAGAGATGCAGCAAAACAGTATCCGTTCTTGGACTCTGATGTGTCACCCATGTTTGATGAATTGTTAAAGCTTAAGTTGATTGAATTACCGGAGATGAAGCGTCCCGAAGAAGCTTCTAAGGCGGACGACCCCAACTATTGCAAGTATCATCGTCTCCTCGGACACCCGATTGAAAAATGCTTCGTCTTTAAAGATAAGGTGATGAGACTTGCTCGTGATGGAAAGATTGAGCTGGCTGATGCAACTGCCAGCACCAACCAAATTTCATGCGGAAGGTTCGCTCCGTTAGTTGAGGAGAGTGATGAAAGAGGATGGGGGCAAGCAATACAAACGCCCGCTTCCATTCATTGTGAAACAGGCTACTAAGCAACAGCCGGAGTTAACCACAGGTCAATCCGGTATGCGAGAAGGATTGGGTAATTGTTGCCCGTAAAAAACAAAGGAACAATGCTGGACATGTTAGATCTTTGAAGAGAATAACGAAGCAATGGGTTGAGAGAAAGCCAGCAAGGGACCTCGCCTATGACACAAAGATGCGAGGACGTCCCGGCACGTCTCGAACACCAGTTGCCCTGGCTCAATTCATGCCGAAGGCGCTTCCTCCGCACGGGACAAATATTCCTGGAACTCGGCTTGAATATTAAAGAGAGACATGTTGAAGAGGAGGAATGTTCATTCCTCGTGATTGAAGGAAGTGACGAGGTTCAAATCCACAAAGCCGCGTCTTATACCGCCGAGATAACTTTTAAAGATGAGGATCTGTTGCTTGGTGGTATACCCACATAATCGTCCGTTGTTTTGTTGAAGGTTATGCCCGCGAGCAAAAGATTAAAAGGATTTTGATTGATCAAGGGTCGGCTGTGAACATTCTATCACTCCGAGCTATGAAAGAACTTGGCATCTCCACCGACGAGCTCTCTCAAAGCCGCTTAATGATTCAAGGATTCAATCAAGGCGGACAAAGAGCACTCGGTACTGTTAGACTCGACCTCAGGATCAGAACACTAAACTCGAGTACACTATGTTATGTGATAGATGCAAGGACATCCTACAACTTGCTGCTGGGCCGGCCTTGGATACATGAGAATGGAGTAGTTCCCTCATCCTGGCACCAATGCCTCATGTTTGAAAAAGGCGGGGTGATAGAAAAGGTAGTCGCTGATCAAACTCCCTTCATTGAAGCAGAATCATACTTTGCAGATGCAAAGTTTTACTTGAAGAAACAAGTTGTAGAGGAAGCCGAGCGAAGCAATGTTGACACACCTCTTGATCCAAAGTGGGAAGGCAAGAAAGTTGTAGACCAAGCTCATTGCGACAAGGAACTTGTTTTCCCACTCGCAATGATTGAGACATTAAAAGCAGCAGCTCCAGTTAAATCGCTTGAAGATGAAGCTCAAGTTGGGGCAAGTCAAACAGTGCCCGCTAAGCGCACTGGCGGCTTCGACCCTAATGCATATAAACTTCTATTCAAAGCTGGATATGATCCCAAAGAGCCACAAAAGCTGGGGGAAACTCATCCCAGAAGCTGGTGGTAAAGGCAAGTCCAATCAGCAGGAGCCACATGAACGGAAAGGATTGGGTTATATTCCCCCTAAGCCAGTGCGAATATTCATAAACAGAGCCACAAGTAATTGCATCACTTCTACAGATGAGGAGGAAGGTGACAAGAAACAGTCTATTTTTGATAGAATCGGAGATGTAGAAGTACGACAATCAGTCTTCCGTAGACTAGGGCCGAATCCCAAACCTGCTAAGAGAAAATCAGTACATGACAGAATTGGGCCTACTCAGAGTTCGAAGGAGCAGACCAACCCTCCTACTGAAATGGAACCCTCAAAAAGGCTCAGGAGTGCTGTTCCATCTCGCATGAGAAGGGAAGTTAATATCCATGTCTCGTGTGGTGAAGTTTTGAAGGTCCAACCAAGAACCATTGTACACACCCAAGTGCAAGAAAGAAGTCAAGAAAATATTGATTCAAGTTGTGAGGCAACACCAAGTCAAGATGAGATGGCATCGTCATTTCATATAACATTATACGATGAGATTCCAACCGAGGTGAAGATGCAGAGGATGCACCTCAAGAGCTAGAAGAAGGGGTACAAGCCGCAGTGGACGAACTAAAAGAGGTGGATCTAGGAACTTCTGAAAGTCCTCGACCTATCTTCATTAGTTCACTCCTTTCCAACGAAGATGAAGAAATATATGTCACACTTTTGAAAGAATATATCGATGTATTTGCATGGACATATAAGGAGATGCCAGGGTTGGACCCAAAGATAGTCGTGCACCGCTTGGTAGTAAAAAAGGGGTGTCGCCCGATTAAGCAAGCTCAACGGCGCTTCCGCCCCGAGCTCATTCCCTCAATCGAAGCAGAAGTCAACAAGCTTATAGAGGCTGGTTTCATTCGCGAAGTTAAATACCCAACTTGGATATCCAGCATTGTTCCTGTGCGCAAGAAGAATGGCCAGATCCGCGTGTGCGTAGACTTTCGAGATCTTAATGTTGCATGCCCGAAAGATGACTTCCCCGCTCCCTATCACAGAGTTAATGATAGATGCTGTAACTGGACACGAGATCATGTCATTCATGGATGGCTCATCCGGTTACAATCAAATCCGCATGGCGCCAGAAGATGAGGAGTTTACTGCGTTTCGTACGCCAAAAGGTATCTACTGCTACAAAGTGATGCCCTTTGGTTTGAAAAATGCAGGTGCTACATACCAATGGGCCATGCAGACTATATTTGACGACATGCTGCATAAAATGGTGGAATGTTACGTAGACGACCTGGTTGTGAAGTCGAAACTCCGCACAGATCACATGATGCATCTAAGACAAGTATTTGACCGCTTGCGGAAGTTTCAACTCAAAATGAACCCCCTGAAATGTGCTTTTGGGATTGCTGCTGGCAAATTCCTTGGGTTTACTGTTCGACATAGGGGCATTGAGATCGAACAAGCAAAGATCGACGCTATAATGAAGATGCCTGAGCCAAAGAACCTTCGTGAGCTTAAAAGCTTGCAAGGGAAGTTGGCTTATTTAAGAAGATTCATATCAAACCTAGCAGGAAGATGTCAGCCCTTTAGCCGGTTAATGAAGAAGGGTGTCCCATTTGTATGGGATGAGGCCTGCAAGAATGCTTTCCAAAGCATCAAGTCCTATTTAATGAAGCCGCCTGTGCTAACTGCTCCAATTCCAGGACGCTCGCTGATCCTTTACATCTCCGCCCAAGAAAGCTCGGTGGGTGCTTTACTTGCACAAGAGAATGATAACGGGAAAGAAAATGCCCTTTATTATTTAAGTAGAATGATGACGCCAAATGAGCTCAAATATCTGCCAATTGAGAAGTTGTGTCTGGCCCTTGTATTCGCCATCAGGAAGCTCAAGCATTATTTCGAAGCGCATACAATTCGACTAGTTTCCAGGGCAAACCCAGTGAAGTATGTCATGTCAAAGGTTGTTCTTTCCGATCGACTTGCTAGGTGGTACTTATTATTTCAACAGTTTGAGATCACTTATGTACAACAGAAGTCCATCAAGGGGCAAGCCTTAGCAGATTTCCTAGCTGACCATCCAATTCCTGCCGAATGGGAGCTGTCCAGTGACCTACCTGATGAGGACGTGCTTGTGGTTGAAGTTTTACCTCCATGGAAGATGTACTTTGATGGAGCGGCACACAAAGAGGGGGCAGGCGCTGGAGTTGTCTTTGTTACGCCTGAAGGGGAAGTGCTTCCTTATTCATTTACCTTGACAGAGCGCTGCTCGAATAATGTTGCCGAGTATCAGGCACTCATTTTGGGACTTGAAATTGCAGCTGATATGAAGCAACTAAGGGTTAACATATACGGAGACTCCAAACTGATTATCAACCAAGTACTTGGGGTTTACGAAGTAAAAAAGCCAGAGTTGATCCCATACAACAGTTATGCAAAGATGCTCCTGCATTGGCTAGGAGATGCTACGATGGAGCACATTCCAAGGAAACATAATAAGCAAGCCGATGCCTTAGCTGCTTTGGCTTCAACTATATCACATCCTATAGATGAGGCTCGGCTACGAGTATGCCAAAGATGGGTAGTCCCTCCAATCTTCGAGGACGATGGCTCTCTTGACGACATTGTTGAACTCCCGACTGTTTCTGTCTATGAGGTAGATAAAGAGGATTGGAGGCAATCATTGATTGACTACCTTGTTGATGGGAAGTTACCTCAACACCCTCGTAAGAGGGTAGATGTAAGACGTCGAGCTCCTCGCTTCATATATTTCAAGGATGCGCTATACTGGCGCTCGTTTGATGGTGTGTTTCTTCGATGTTTAGGCGAAGAGGAAGCTTTACAAGCGATGGAGGAGGCTCACTCTGGAGTGTGCGGTGCTCATCAGTCTGGTCCTAAGTTACATTTTCACATCAAAATAATGGGTTACTACTGGCCTACGATGGTGAAGGATTGGCATAAACTATGCACGGATATGTCAAGCGTGTCAATTTCATGCGAACTTTATCCATCAACCTCCTGAACCGCTACATCCGACGGTAGCATCATGGCCATTTGATGCATGGGGGCTCGATGTGGTTGGTCCTATTACACCCAAGTCATCAGCAGGGCATTCGTATATATTAGCAGCCACCGATTATTTCTCAAAGTGGGCTGAAGCAGTGGCTTTAAAGGAAGTGAAGAAGGAAAATGTTGCAGATTTCATTCGAGTTCACATTATCTATCGTTTTGGCATCCCTCGGTATATCCTAACCGACAACGGGAAACCATTCGATAATAAATTGATGGATAAAATCTGCAAACTTTTTGAGTTCGAGCAAAGAAATTCATCAGCTTATTATGCAGCTTCAAATGGACTTGCCGAGGATTTTAACAAAACTCTATGCAATCTACTAAAAAAGGTGGTGTCGAAGTCAAAACGTGATTGGCAAGAAAGGATGGAAGAAGCACTGTGGGCATACCGAACTACATACCGTACACCAACACAAAGCACTCCATACTCACTGGTTTACGGGGTTGAAGCAGTCTTGCCTCTTGAACGCCAAATACCTTCTCTAAGGTTAGCTATCCAAGAAGGCCTTACAGACGAGGATAATGTAAAGTTGCGGTTGACAGAGTTAGACGCTCTCGATGAGAAGAGATTGCAGGCCCAACAAAGTCTAGAATGCTATCAAGCTCGAATTTCTAGAGCTTTCAACAAGAGGGTAAGGATTCGCTCATTTCAGGTTGGTGACAAGGTGTTGGCGGTTCGTAGACCTATCATTATTACAAGGAAAACTGGGCACAAGTTTACTCCAAAATGGGATGGACCTTACGTGGTACAAGAAGCATACTCAGGAGGTGCTTACAAGCTAATTGATGAAGATGGTGTGCGAGTTGGCCCTATTAACGGGAAATTCTTAAAGATCTATCATCCCTAAGCACACGGACTGTGTAATGAATGATATCCACCAAAAATGCAGCACGTGGTTAAACTGCTAATGCATCTCGCTTGTCTATGGGTGGGCCCAAGTCATAGACGCTCTTGACCCGCACGAGCTTAAACTGTGTACGGTAAACTCCTGGCCCGCATGAGTTTAAACTGTGAACGGCCCTACCTATTCAAATGGCCCTTTGAACTACGTTTGACTTGATCTCTTTTGCAGGAGTACGTAGGCAGCTTAGAAACACTTCCTCTTCTAAGTTCAGTCAGAACTAAAATAAACCCCTTTGTGTCCCTTTTATGTCACGTTTGTTCGAATAATGTAGATGTATTGGAGATGGGTCATCTCTGTTCACGTTGTAATTACGGGTGAATTCTTTTGTCAGATTTCTATTAGAGTGACTTGTTTGGGTTTAAACTTAGTTGCTTCTGTTCATGCTGAAGTTCAATTGTTCGCAAGTATTGTTGAAAAGATAAGAGAAATCAAGTCGTATTCAAGTCTTGTTTCCAAGTATAAAACTCATGCGTTATACAAAAAAAAAAAAAAAAAAAAATCTATAAGCAAAAAAAAAAAATAATAAATCTAAAGTATCCTAAAGCTCATGAGATCTTCCTTATACGCTTCCAGCTCTCTTTTGATTGAAGTAAGCTTTTCTTCATCTTCATCTGTCAACGTGGGGCAGTCTCGAATACGTTTAATTTCATCCTCAGCGGTGGTCACGGCCTTTTGCGATGCGTTATGTTGTTCTTGAGCCTTCGTCACACGGTCTTGGAGTTCCGGGTTCTTGGCTTCAATCTCCTTCAACTCTTCCTGTGCATCCTTTATCGTTTTCTCCAGGACGGCTTTTCGATCGGCGGCGTCTTCGAGGGTTTTCTGTTCGTCAAGAAGAAGCGCTTCGGTTTGAGAACACTTCCGTTGAGCTTCTACAAGGATACCTTGCGTTAGAACTAGCTTCGCGGCTTGGGTTTCAACGGGCAGTGCATTCGAGAGCTGCGACCGCGCCCGATCATAATCTTTAGCTTTGTTAAAGAACTCGGCCACTCGTCGCTTCAATATTGATAGGTCCACCCCGTCCCGTCCCATTTCTTGGAGTTGTCTTTCAACGCTTCCTTGGAAGGAAGAAATTCTTTCAGCTGGGATCTCATTAAGCTTCCTGCAGATACTACTCCAAACTCCCGCAATGAAAGCCATGTATTGTGATATAAACGACTCCTCGCCGGGGAAGATAGAGGCTTGGGACGGCTCTGGCTGCATCTCCTGAGGAGTTGTGTTTAAGGGCAACGTCGACTGGTGGGATTCTACCTCGAGGTCAAGGGTATTAGAGCGTCCGCCACTTTGTCCCATTGAAGACTGGTGATTTGATGACTGGACATCGTTGCTAACATGTGGCTCGGCAGGATCCTGTAAGAAGTAGTGCATGTACGTTAACAAAGTCCAAAGTCCAACGATATACGAAACGGAAGAATTTGGGGAAGTATCTTAACCCGGTTCAATGGTCTCCCTCTGGGCCGTTTCCAACAGCGATCTTGGTCTTCATCACTACCAGCGTCCTCGTCCGAGCTTCGCTGCCTCGCTTGCTCCTCCCTGCTCCTTCGAACGGCATGTCCTGAGGCCCTATCCCGAGATGACATGTCCTCTTGTGCAGGTGTTTTTTTGTTCCTTGAGGTGGTCAATTGGTCTCTTGGTTCTTGAGTTCCTTCCTCGCTAACAGGTACATTTGGGTTTCCGTTAACGGCTATGTCTGTGAAATGATTCTTGAGAAGGTTTGCACTCACATCAATCAACCAGGCCTTGTACTCGTTCGAAAAATGCTTCTTTGGAGCAGCCGGGCTCATGGGAAATGTCGCCCTGGATTGGGAGTTAATATTATCATATTGGCGATGAAGCCGAAATCTTTCGGTGAGTGAAGCATAACGGACATCCTTCGCCAACAGGCCGGGGGCATATGCTTGATAGAATCCAAATTGACGACTGAAGCGATGCGGCATGTAAGGCTCGGCTTTGCATTGAGACCCTTGGCGCAAAACGAGGAAGCTGGGGCGCAAACATATGAAGTACTCAAAGTCTTCCCTACTCCCTCTACGGTCATCATGAAAGATAAAATCTCTACTATCCTTGCGGGAGTTGCAGAGCCAAGAAACGTCCCCTTTAAATATCTTCTTGCGGGCATCCATCTCGGTGTAATACCTTGCACCACCTTCTCCAGAATTAGTGACCATCTTTGGGTTTGCTAACGTGAGGCTGGGGGTCTTAAAGTGGGTTTGGTAGTAAGTTGCTAGCCAGCTGTACACGTAATGGATTGGAAAAGGATCTCCTATTTGACCAGGAGAGTGGGATTCCGAGATTGAGTTTAAACCAGAATAAATACTAGCAAGTACTGGAGCCGCAAGACATATCTTATCTCCTTTAGCCATCATACATGCTATCCTGAAAGTCTCTGGGCGAATGGTTCTTGTTGGTGTACCTGGCAGGACAAACACGCAAAGCCAACAAGATAAAAACGCGGCCAAATAAGCTTCCTTTTCGAAACGCTGAGAGATGCCTAGTTCAAGAAAGGGCGTCCTGCTCACATCTAACCACCTGAGGGATTTGTTAAGTTCTCCGCTTGGGTTGTGGGTATTCTTTGGCCGAGATTTCCTGTCCTTTTGAGATGGAGGTGGAGGAGCTGGATGTGTTCGCGGTTTTCTGCACCAGAAGTCAATCCATCGCGATGCTTGAACAAAGGGGGTGCCACCCTCTTGCTGGTTTAAAAGATAAAAGGCCTCGAATAAGCTTGCACAACACCTGTTTGGGCCCCTTTTTAGGTCTAGGGCGCTCGGGATGTGTTCGTCGTAAATACCGCCGGACAGTGGTAGTCCTCCAAGAATGTGCAAATCCCGAGGCGATATGCTCACCTCACCAGACGAGGTGATCAGGGTGTTGGTTCTTGGGCACCATGCTTCGCAGAAGGCTTTGACAATGTTGATGTTACGGTCATATGTAAATAATGACGCAAACACAACATCATATATCTTCCCCTCCTTTAAGGTGTCGTGGGAGAAGTGAAGCGTTTCTTCAACCCACTCCCAATATCCTTTTAGAAAAGTGAATTCGCCCTCGAAGTCTATGTCTTGGCCCCACGAGACCTCAGCATTAAGTATACGACGCCCCAGTGTAGGAAGGGCGTCTTTGGAAGGTTGGTGCTTCATTCCGGGTAGCAAGGTCCACACCTTGGATGGCGGGCATTCGTACTCGGGGGTCCAGTTACTCGCATGATACGACACCGTGAGCTTTGGCGGGTCGCGTAGTACTATGGGTGGGTTAACCTTCAGTGTGACTTGATGATCACTATTTCTGCTCGATATAACCATGACATCTTGCCCGTTACGTCGTTGATCTTGAAAGTACACCATTTTGAACGTGTTAAAGACAAAGTCGCTGCAAAAAAATGGAAAAAAACAATAACTATGATATATTATGCACAAATATATAGCATATACATAACACAAAATTAAATCGCCGAATTATATATATATGGCAAATTTTTTGGACTATGGTCCACACAATTTTATGGACTATGGTCTATGCAATAATAGTTGTATACATATACTACATGTGGACTACATATATTAGTATATTATATACATGTATATACAGGATATTATTATTATTATTATTATTATTATTATTATTATTATTATTATTATTATTATTATTATTATGTTACAATTAAGATGTTGCGAAACAACAAAAAAGTATATAACAAAAAGTGAAAGATCCGAAAACAAAAAGAAACAAAAAATGAATGAAACAAAAAGAAACAAAAAATGAATGAAACAAAAAGAAACAGGAAAAAAAAAACGAAACAAAGAGAAAAACAAAGAAAAAAAAAGGAAAAAAGGGTGAAATAAAAAAAAATAGAAAAGAAAATTCTATGAAGCTACATCTTATTTCATATATGTGTATTATATTTGGCTATGTATATTTAGGCATGATTATATACTGCACTGCTGTGTGTACTGTAGGCATGGAGAAGAGTGGTAAGTGGGTCCCAGCCGAAATAGTGTTTGTTTCACTCCCAATAAGAAGTGGTAGTCACGTGATGGCCACCATGAGAATTGTAAAAGAAATTTAATGAAAGGCTTGAGGACCCAGTAGCACGGCAATAGGTTTAGTACTTAGCAGTATCGACCTCCAAGCAATAGGCGGCTGCTGCAAAAAGAAGAAAAAAAAACTCCAGACTCCATCCTTGCGCCTTTGACATTAATTACTCTGAGGAAAAATTGTGAATCCATCAATACAATGGAGGAAAGAGAACGGGCTCCAGCAACCACCTCAGCGTCAACTGCGAAGAGTTTCAACGATTCCAGCTACGGTAAGGACCCAACAGCAGCATCAGACTCCAACCATCCGGCGACTGTGTACGGTAAAACTCCGGCGACTTCTGAAAAAAAAAAAAACAAAAAAGGCTTCCGGCGAGGTGGTAGCATAAACAGTTGACCGGCGGTTTCCGATGGGCGACACTCCAGCGACTTCTGCGAAAGCTTCCGGCGGGCAGCAGTTCGGCAACCTCCTAAAAAAACAAACAGAAAAACTCCGGCGACTTTTGCGACGAACTTCCGGCGACTTCTACGAAGAACGGTCTCCGGTGGCGGGCAGCGTTCCAGCGACCTCTGGACTCCGGCGGCGACTCTGGCGGGCAGCGTTCCGACGACTTCCGGATTCCGGCAGCGTTGGTGATTGCAAGGCAAAAAAAAAAAAAAGAGAAAGAAAAAAGGGAAACGTCCGGCGAAGATGGCGAAAATTTCAGCAGTTTCTGCAATGAACTCCGGCCAAAATAATAATCCAGATTCCTCTTATTTCGTATGATGTTGCGGCTGTATCACTTCTTCCCTGTAAATATAAAAGAATGCATATAGAAAAGATGGGGATGATGGTACAGATGATTTACCTTGCTAAAGGGAGGTCAAGTGCCTGTAAATCTTTGCTTTCCTTCTTCAATCTCTGCTTCGTTGATG